CATTTTTCAGAACAAAATATGCGGACAGAAAAACTATTGATGAACACATTTATGCACAGAAAAGTAATTAAAGGATAAAATCAAAGAAAGAAAAGAATTTCAATATCACAGACATCCATGACGAAACAATTTTCGTGTGAAAAAAAATCTCGTTCCGGAGGAACTTTTGTTTGTAAGAGTTTCCGGTAAAAACGAAGAATTCATCTGCGTACAAATCAACACAGGTTGCTTTCCAAAGACGTTGAGTGATATTCAAAACTTCTGAATCTTAAGCGGAACTCGAACTTGTGTTTTACTCATATTAGGGGAGCCTGCTCCCACTACACCATCGAAGCCGGCAATCTGCTATCACTCTGGTTGCTTTCGCTGCAAATTAAAACTGATTATACTGACAATGCACAGGCACACTAAGTCAGATGACTGCATGTTTCCCGCTTCTTAACTGACAAATTTTCTGTTGAAACTGATCACATATTTAGGTAAGAAAATGGTGAATCCTGAGCGATCGCCAACAATTTTTTGCATTCTAAGCTAATTTTTTCACGTGTTTCAGCTAAAATGTCGTCATAGAAGTCTTCTGCTATCAATAAAAAAATCAAAACATTATTAACGTGTCAGATACATTGTGATACAATCTCATAGTGTAGTGCGATGATAGGCTGTTTGCGACGCAAGTTCACCGAGTTTGATCCTTCCATCCGTTGATAAAACTCTCTGTTGACTTTACGGGATTCTCAAGGTGAAATGGAGACAGCGAATTGTGTGGTAGTCGAAATGTTGTCTGGGATATTGTTAACTTTAGGAAAGAGACCAATCAATCACAACATGGGTGGTCATCAGTTTGAAAGTAGTACTTATTCAGTAATCATTAGTAAGTATTGACGCAGCGAACTATTAATTTCTTGAGATCACATCGCTCTATTTTCCAGCTTACAAGGTTGGAAAATGGTCTCAAGAAACTTAAGAAGCCTAAACAGTGGTTTTTGAAGGGCCAACATTTGAGGGCTGAGCACATCGAAATCTGTGCATGCTCGCCAAAGGTTGTAACGGCTGTTTAGTCGAATGAGCACGACGGAGGCCTCCTTCAAGTGCTTCCATTGCGCGTGAGGGTCGCTCTGCAGGCTCCGTCAGTACAAAATGCACAAAAGGCCTTTATTAGTGGCACAACATAACCACCCTAGAAGTAAGTGAATCTCTAAATGTTGTACACGATATGATCCTATATGTAGATGTACTTCTTGCTAAACATCTCAATTCGACATTACCCTTATTGCGCCAACTAGACATGACGGAGCGGCAGAGAACGATTTTCGATAACCGGTTCAACTAACTATACCTAGGACTGTAACTCGTCCCGATGACAATGAGTGAACATCATACTTTCAAGTAACACTATCGTTCAGAAGAAGTAGAACACAAATGTGCTATTAAGCTCAATGAATTAGTTAAACAATAACGATTTTTCAGCATGCCTATTAGTCGATAACGTCGCTACATTTTATCGGAAATCAAAAAATTTGTCACTTGTAGAAACATTTCGTTACAAAAAATGATTTGCTAAGAAGATTGAAAGATAACGAAGGAAAAAAAAGTAGATGGAAAGAAAAATAAACACAACTTTCGCTGTTGTGTGACCAATCTGTTTTCGTGCGCCTATGTCATATGCATGCACATATGCATGTATATTACATGAAAAAGAAACTGCTAAGAGAGCAAGCTCTTCATGTTCATTACGTCTAGAGAGGGATTAAGAAAGAGAGAAAAGAAGAGAGAGAAGAAGCCGGGAGAAACATCGAGAGAGACAGAAGGAGACATAGGAGGTAGAGCGGGGGAAGAAAGAGTTCCGAATGTTGCTTTATATCTATTTCGTCTGACTGATATTCCAAACTTGTCTTTCTCATAGCTGCTCTAATGGGAAGTAAGATTTCAAAGTTTTTCGAAACACTCGGTGGCGCTGAGATTTCTCAACATAATGAATTTCCCGAAATTTTTTCGCCTATTTTCGTACGGTCAATTCCCGTCCGATTGAACATGGTCGTTTCATTATCATTACCCTTCATCAAAATGGTTCAATCAAACCTTTCAGGTATATGTGGCACCTGCTGTCAAATTCATAGGTTCACATTCGTTCTTAACATCTAAAACCGATATTGATCTGTTAGATCGAATCGATGTGACGTTCAGCTTTCGACGACTTGATTAGTAATGTTAGTAAGCCAACGACGACCGGGCCGAGCAGTGTCGACGTCCACAACAACGGCAAGTCGTCATGTTCGGTTTATGCGAGTAATCGATGAAGTTGAATATGTCATGAATATATCGAAAAAACCCCGAATATTGAAGAAAAATAGTTGAGAGACGTGTAAAGAAGATGAATCAAAGAGAAGAATGAATAGATTCGGACAGGCGTGTAAGCTGTGATGATCGATAGGGGTATGGTCGAAAAGCGAAAATCGTAAAAATATGACATTATTGACATGGAAAGACCAGTGTGGCAAGTTTTGTAGAAGGAAAATAAGTAGATGAATAAAAGAGGGGCGGAAAAGAAATGTATAGAAAGAAAAAAGGAAAGGTCACAACTATACGGCCCGACAACGTTTCTTCGTTAAAAAGTTTATTTGATTGATACACAACGTTTGGCGAAGGAACATACTAGTAGAGTGGCGTGAACGTTGGTTCGATACCCTTTCGCGTCAGTCGAGTATTCATTTTATACGACGTTTGCAGAATCACATCAGATGTATTGGGGATAAAGCGCTTTCGGTTTACAAGAGCTGAATGATGTCTATATTGGACATCCTATGACACTTTAGTGAAGTTGTCCCCAGTTTCCATGGAGAATGAACTCGACCAGCACTCGACGACATTTAGAAGACGAAGTTTTCATGTAGCAGCTGACCCCGATTTCAAATTCGATGATTGTAGCGAGCATCAAATGAGAAAAAACGAGCCGTATGAACGGATTGGTAGAATTCGCCCAATATGTGAGACCAAGAATAAAAATATAGTAATGAAGCAATATATGTATTGAGCTGGAGCAAAACTAAGGGTGGCTTCGGTTTCGTGGATTCTAAACCATGATAACTAAGTTCAGAACATCTGCATTGACCAAAATAAAAACCATTACAATCATCACACTTTGCCAACGGAAAATCAGCTTATTTCTTCCCGTAACCTAAAAATCGGTGCCTCGAGACCTGACGAACTTTTGGAGCTTTTTCTGCATCCTCTTAACTGAGAAGGCGTTTTCCTTGCTAGGAGTTATCTAGATGCTTGAAGAAATGGCACTCAGTGGCAGCAAGATTCGACGAGTATGAAGAATGAAGCAAAACTTCGTAGCCCGATTCGTTAAACTTTTGAAGCATTCGTTGTGCGATGTGTGGCCGTCTACTGGTTGTAATTAAACCGCCATTACTTTTGCACCGACCTTTTTCGTCCCCCAATTCGTTCCAAATGGTGAACAACGGTAGATTAGTCGATACTGAGCTTTTCTGCAGCATCTCGCGTAGCTTCAAGAGTATGAGCTTCTATGATTGCTTTTCTCATAACTCTGATGAGGTTCGTAAAAAAGTTATTGCTTTTTGTGCACTGTTGAATTGTACCTTCTTTAAAAAAATTTTTGAACTACAACTGCACTGAACGTTTGTTAGACTTGAACCAGATGCGCTGCTGATGTCTAGAGTTGTTTCTGTTGTTTAGCGACCCATATTGAATTCATGGTGTGGAAGCGCCATGATTTTTGCACAGACCATCATCGTTCAATAGTCTTCGAATATGAAATAAAGAGTAAATAATACGTCATTAGCAATAAAACATAGAGTGAGAAATGCTCATTGAAATGATATATACATAACCATATTCATTCAAAAATTTACTCCATTATCAAACGGCAAATTCCAACTATATATAATCTGTCATCGCTTCTTCATCAACCTAGCACAACAATCACTGCTCACATAGACAAAAAACCTTGGAGATTGTGAAGTATTGGGAAGCAATAGCCATCACTGGGTTTCAATCAACATATCTTATCTCGCAGATTTAACAATAACTCCTACAGAACAGTAAGATTTGGCAACTTCACCAAATGAATACAGATTTTTTGATTACTGGAGAGAGTAATTGTTCTTAAGCTTACCCTTAGATATCATGTCAGGAACGATACCACACACACGTGAATTGAAGCATGATGAGAGATAGAGGAAGACAGAATGGAAAAAAGGAAAAAAGGACTGGAAAAGATTGAGATGATAAGACGATCCTTATTTGACGTGATGATGACAAACACTTCAAGACAGGCAAACACGCACCGCCTTATACGAACGGTACAGGTGATGTCCGTTGTTCTCATCGAGTGTTTGGTTAGTAGAAGCATAGAGAGAAGATCGATGCGATAATAAAAGTGTTGAGAAAGTGTACTATATGTGGACAAAGAAATTTTCTCTGTTTCTTTGACTCTTTGTTGTTGTCTCGTCATTCAGTATACACTCTCGCCATTCATTACGTTAGGTGTGACCCATAGTCGACGAGTTTCGCACTTCATCACTTTCTAAACGACCTAGATATATCATTAAGTGATAGCAGATAATTTGATAACGAGCCACTAATTTCAATTCACATAATTCGCCGATCGAAAGACTGACAGTGCAATGAAATCAACAGATGTCAACTAAAGTGGTCCAATATATCTCTTATAGCACGAAAAAAGTGAACATTGTAACGGTGTTTGATATAGATTATGGAAGAAAAACGGTCGAAATTTCACCTTGGATCCAAAGACTGTGGGCTTTTCATTGTAGATATTGTTTGATAAGAAATAATTTATCACTATACGAGTTTTCAGTACTACAAGAAAAGTCTAAAAAAGCGAATACAAATTTTTCTGAAGGAAACGAAAAAAAAAGAAATATGTAGGACCAACAAAACTCTATCATCAACGACAAACGGTTACTAAAATACTATTTTTAAAGCCTTTAACGTAGAGCGATGTGCAAAACGTTGGCGTCAGGCGGGACTCGAACCTCACATCTCACTCTATTCGGGAGCGAGTGCTCTAACCCATTGCATTACTGACGCCCATTTTGCACATCACTCTTTCTACGCTACAACGCATCTATCTGTCAGCCGCCACCGTCAATCGGTAGCGACATTGAACCCCAGTAACGCTGACAGATATTGGGTATTGGTGATCATACGAAATTATTTTATTTAACAGCTTCTAGCGGTGGTATGAATTTTCAAATATACATCACATGATATGAATGCTTGAATGGAAAAATTGATATATGATGATAGAACGCTATTCAGATGCTATTGTAATGATGAGTACATGACGGTGACGGATAACGTGATCATCTCCCGGCGAATAAAGCATCAAAATTTTCTTTACAGGGCAAATTTGAAAGCTTTTCGCCTCCGGCGAAATGAAAAGCTTTCTTAACCAGTGGGCTGATGTCAGACCGACACTGGATTAACATCGCAGGCATCTTTAACCACCCTACCATAAGGACTACGCCAGACGTTCTGACAAGTCAAGTATTTTAGCTTCACACACCTAGCCATTTTCAGATCATGGTGATCACAAAACCATAAATTGGGTATCACAAAGTCTTTACATTGTTTTAAAATTAGATAAGTTGTTCTAAAAGAATAATCTCCGAGAACTGATTGGTGAGCAAAGATGCGACATCAGTCGGGAGTCGAACCCGCTTTTCATCCATACCAGAGACTCGCGCTACCCACTAATAGATTCGCACCATCACTCATTCTTCAACATCTCTATGTGAGCCATCAGTCATCAACCTTTAACAGATTTGGCCGAGTATGCGATTTCGTTTATAAACCCAGTTGAGCTGACAGCCATTATGACAAGTAATATAGTGCAATGCAGTGCATATGCGAAAAATGCAGTAAAAACACTAGAAATTTGGAGTATTACTTACCATAATGGCTGTCAGCTCAACTGAGTTTAAAAAGCGAAATCACCCCGACCAAACCTGTTGAAGATTGGTGGCTGATAGCTAACACAGTGATGTTGAAGAATGAGTGGTATTGCATGTGTATCTCGGTGGTGTAGTGGTTGCTCGTGTCCACGGTATAAATGAAACGCGAGTTCGACCAGTGTGAGGTCACAATTTGCTCACCTCATAACACTGTGAAAATTGCAGTAAAACACTAGAAATTTGGAGTATTATTTACAATAATCTGCATTAGAGGACATCTTGAGATTTAATTTCCTTTACTTTGAGATAGTGAGTCAAAGTTGCAAATTCTCATAATGGAACCGAAAACAGCTGTTCTTAATGTAGAGATGGGAAGGATGTTATCAACTCATAGGAAACAGTTTTTCAACAAAAGATCAATTGTCATTTCGGCAAGCAAAACGAACAATGGTTTGTTATCTGACCGAATGAATTAGAGTGAGTCACTCCAATATAAATCTTTTGTACCACATACAAGTACGTTTATCACCAACCAGATTGTAGCAGCGGAAATTCGACTAGACTTTGCCATGAGCCATGACTGCCCGACTGATTTTGCTTTTGAAAAGGCGAGCACCGCTTCACAATTTCGTTACGATACTTTCTATTTCAATCGTTATTGAGGTGACAGAAGCAGGAATGATTGTGGTAGTGCACATGTATGATTACTGGTTTAACTCCGCTCTAGCCGTTAGTCATCTCATTTCTCGAAGATCGATAAACTGCAATCAAATTTGTTTTGGAAAAACTTTTGACGATCCAGAAGCAATGACGTATGCCTTTACGGAGAAGATGTGGGAAGCATAAATGGAAGCATCTCTGGCAAACTTCTAACAAAGACTGAATCGAATAGCGTTCAATGACAATGTAGAGGGTGTCAATAAGATACGTGCTCGACTGCCGGTCACCACAATGTCAGGTACACTGCATCATCTGACTTGGGGTGATCTATTATTCAACGGCGATTCCTTTATAGAGGATTATTTAACTCAGGGAATTGGCTGAACCGAGAGAGCGTGGGTATACCACTAAACGTAACACTTCAAAACATGTTATATCCTTATCAGATTATAATGTAAAAGAGACGGTCTTCTAATGATCGCTGAATCAACGTCTTGAAGACATCATGGACTACTGATGTGGGACAAGAAGACGAATTATAGAGATGGTGTGATGCCCACAGTACGTGAAGTCACATCATACGGATGAAAAAAGACTAGCAATTAGGTATCCATAAGTATCCTGCCAGTTCGAAGAAGCGGCATGTGTCTATTATTATATGCGCTTCGGATTAAAAATCGAATTCAATCACATCTTGAAAAACTTGCTGAGCAAACAAAGAACGGATGAACTCTCCGCTGTACATCACAAATCAACAACCAGAAACATTCCGCAGCCAGCAACGATTTGCTGACAGCGTGATCGAGAGAGTATTTTAGAGAAAAAAAACTTTTTTGTGAGCACAAAAACTTTTCACAAACGATCTTTATTCTAACCTATGAAAGAAAATAGTGCTAGAAAACAGTCTAAATACACTTTCGTCACTCGCAAACCCAGATCACCATATTTTCCATTGAATCAGTTCCAATATAGCTGTCGACTCTGGCGCTATTATGGTGCTGTTTCTTAAGTCCCACGCTGATGCTCACTGCACTCGAACTATTCTTCATGAGTAGGAGATCTCCACTACTGGCTTTACAACATTCAACTACTGAAGACTTTGAAGCGACTTCAAACTTACGTTGCTACGTTAAGTATCAAGGAAATGATTCGACTATATCACAGATGTTTGCTCGAAAAATCGTATGAATTGCTTCCGAAATAAAGAATTACTGGCATGTTGGAAAAATCAGATGGTATGTTCAAGCTTTTCGCGAGGGGGCTTTTTGCTTTTCCCTTAGATTTATAAAAATCTTGGCGATTCACTACTGCACTTGCTTTTGAAAGGACTTTATTAGTGCGTTATAGCAGACAAGAGAAAGTCACGTTTCACCTTCAAGATTTGCACGACTGGCATGCGTGCTTACCTTTTCATCGGACTTCTGTTGATCACTTGATAGCTTATTTTCCGTTAAAAAGTAAAAAAGCAAACTGTATTTGGATTTTGAAAACGTCTTCATAGAGCTCTATAAGAGCAAGAATAAATTACGTTCTCACTCGAAGATATTTACATCGAAAGCAAATGAATCTGTAGAGAACATCGCAATGTACCAAAATGTCGAGCGAAATGTGGAAACTCTTTCTAAACGGCGAAAAATTCCTAAACAAAAAACGAAAATCGCGCCCTTTCGGAACTGCAGCTGAAATCGTTGCGCGTGACGAGAGTCGAGAAGCGCTCGATTGTCGTTAAATTGAAATTTTTTCTTATTTATGAAAAAATTTTAAGTTTCACGAAATGTAATGACAAAAGAGAATTCGTTCTATCGTTTAATGCGTATTACCTATTTATTTACAATTGAATTGTCAAATAAACCAGCCATAGACTTCAAACTTCAAACGAGTTAACTACTCCTACTACGAAACTAAATGTTCTTTTCGCTCTTACAGCGCTCTATGAATTTCTTTTAAGAAATCAAACCTAGTTTCGAGTTCAAAGAAATTTGATCTATCGAAATTAATGCAAAAATCTTGTTGTGAAAACACAGTACAGATACCAGCAGTGCAGATGTTGAGTGCCAAAGGTGAGCAGACTTTTTTTTTGGCCGCTACACAACATTATCAAAGCCCTTCTAACAAACAAAGTGCAATATTGAAGTTTTTGAGACTTCAGTTACCGATTGAATACTAAAAGTCTAATAAAGAATCTGTGTTTAGCGTAAAGACGAAGCCGTGGTCAAAAAACACAAAGGTTACCAGAGACACGGATTCAAGTTAAGCAAAAGTAAAATTTGCATCCGATGCAGAAAAGCCAGAGAATATATGTGATAATGACCTGAGAATGCCTTAGCCCGATCATCTCGGATTTCCACAGAAAATCGCGCTCGATCGGCATTCAAGATGATGATGAAGGAAGATAATAAAACCCGAAGTTGCTCTCGAAACCATGTATGAGTTCGACCACCTTTGTCAATGACGGAGGTTACATGAGAACCAAGTAAATGAAGGAAGTGCTGATATCGTACCAAATGTGAATGTGAATCGTCCAAGTTGTTAACTAAGCAGATGAGAAAATTATGGGAGTAAGACCAAATGAGAAAGAAATTTATGGAAATTCGAAAAGGTGATTTTGAATGCAATAAACCTGGAAAAGGTTTGAAATTTATGGATAAGTTAATTTCCTATGACAAGATGTAAGCCTGCCAGAATTACGACTTTTCTGAAAAGAATAAAAAAGAAGAAAATACGGCAAATTGAGCGACAACAAAGAGGAAGTGTAGTTTTTTGTGTCTGTCTCTCAAGCTAGCTTAGCCACTGAGCAGTTCTGGTGTTCAACAGGATCAATCTAACATTTGAGTGGTGTTAGCATGAATCAGGTAGCATGAAGCGGACAGGATCATCAAAACCAAGAAAGAGCTGGACAATTCTACTACCAACAAACTGGCTGAAAACACATCTTTTCCAAAACGAATTTGGCAAGTTACACACAGGCAAGGTATCGTCAGGGAATAGTTCAGAAAAAAAACTGGTTTTTATGACATAAATGTGATGCTATTGGTCTTGCTTGTGTAAGCAGAGTCTATTGGGACTGTTATGGCGCATGACAGGAAAGGGTGGAGACCTTGCCGGTGTCCGTTCATGACGTTTGATGACTAACAAGATTACGAGTATTACTGGTGACGGGTGATAATTGATTTCCACATTCCTATGAGCACTGAAACGGCGAAAATGTCGTTACCGTAGAGTATATGGCACCACTTCACTAGATATTTTATTCACTGAAAAAAGTTGTGTGCAAAGTATACATATTGATTGGTTCTTGATGCCTTCTCCGGTGATTCATAGGTGACATGTGTTTAGAAGATAAAATAAGTGTTTCGAGAAAACATTTCTGAAGATTCATCATTTTTGACTTATAATTGACAAGGACAACGAAAAAGAAGAGAAATGAGAGCGAATGGAAGAGAAAGAGGTGGAGTAAAATGTCAACGCAAAAAT